TGGCCTAATCTAACCACTAGAGTGTGCACATGGTCCGGTATTAGTTTGTGCCGGGATATTGCTGTATTAGTTTGTGCCGACAGATTTCAGTTATCAGTTACGTGACTTATGTCGCGAGATCAGACCGGTATCAGATATCAGTTCAGTTTCAGTTCAGTTATATATATGCTTAGTTCATGATATTGTTATTATTTACGATGTTTACATTAGTATGAGTTTCTGCTGAGCACAAGTGTTTTAGTGCTCACGCCCCACGCTTTTCATGTTTTTCAGGTCGCAGGGTCGGAGACGAGGAGTGAGCGAGCGGGCTGTTCAGGATATTTGTGATTATTGTATATATGTTTTGCCACGCTTTGTTTCCGCTAAAACCTTCAGTACTCATTGTCAGTTTTTGTTCTGACATTAGTCGGATAAGACAGTATAACCGTTTTTATTTATCAGTTTAAAATTTTAACGGTTTTCAGAAAAATCAAGTTTTTCACGGTAGCATCCCGAATCAGTTTTCGCAAAAATAAGTATTTTATTTATTTATTCAGATAATTGCGAAAAATCGCGTACTCTGATATATTAAAAAGTCGGGATGTTACACCTTTAGCGGCATCGAGACGGACTTTGAGACCATTCTTAATCAGCTTGTTGACGACTTCGACTTGACCGTTCGATTGTGGGTGATAGGACGAGGATAAAAAGTGTTTGATATTGTATTCTTTGCACAGAGATTCAAGCCGCTTGCCTTCGAATTGTCGACCGTTATCAGTGATAATTGAGTTCGGTACTCCGAAGCGGCAAATAATGGTCTTCCATATAAAGTCAACAACTTTTTGTTTGGTTATCGTGGCTAGTGATTCGGCTTCAGCCCATTTTGTAAAGTAGTCAACAACGATGATTGCAAACCGAACACCACCTTTTCTGGTCGGTAGGGGACCGATGAGATCAATCCCCCATTTGGCGAACGGCCACGGACTGTAGACCGACTTGAGCTCTTCGAGGAATTGATGAATGTTTGGTGCAAAAATTTGGCACTTCGGGCATTTACGGACCCACGCAGCGGCGTCTGCTTTTAAGGTCGGCCAATAATATCCTTATCGTAGAATACTGTAGGACAAAGCTTGGGCGCCGGGGTGGCTTCCACAAATTCCTTCATGCACCTCTTCAAGAATGTATCGTGCTTTGGACTCGGTTAAACATTTTAAAAGTGGGACTGAATATCCTCTCTTGAACAATGTTCCGTTGTCCAGAGTGTACCGAGCAACTCAAATTCGAAGTGCATGAGCTTCTTTGGGATCCGGAGGTAAGGCCCCTGTGTCCAAGTATCGAATGATAGGATCCATCCAAGTCGGAGGTTTCTGAGAGATAGTCGGATCAACGGTCAATATTTCAGGAGGATGGGTAGATGTTCGCTCATGTTGGCCGACTTGGACATATTCCACGCTCTCCATCCCAGTGCTTGAAGCTAGTCGGGACAGGGCATCAGCTTTTATGTTGAGAATTCGAGGGATATGCTCGACTTCGACAGAAAATTTAGACAACTTTTGTTTTGTCAAGGACATGTATGGTGTCAACCGAGGTTCCTTGACTTCGTAAGATCCGTTGATTTTGTTAACCAAGAGCTGCGAGTCGGAGAAAACTTTCAAATATTTCATGGATTCGGCTAGACTTAGTCCAGATAATAAAGCTTCGTATTCGGCCTCGTTGTTGGTAGCGAGAAAAAGAAATTTAACCGAATGGCAGAAAAATCAGTTTTCGGGATTGGCTAAGACTATTCCCGCGCCTGCTCGGTTTTCCGTGGAGGATCCATCGATGTAGAGGACCCATGGTTGGTCGTCGTTGTGAGCTTCCACGGCCGGCGTGAACTCATCAATGAAGTCGGATAGGACTTGTGCCTTGATTGCAGTTCTCGGTTGATAATGAATGTCAAATTGTCCGAGTTCTACGGCCCATTTTGTCATTTGCCCCGACGTGTTAGGTCGGTGTAAGATTTGTCGCAAAGGATACGAAGTGCGGACAATAATGGAATGCTCTTGAAAATAAGGACATAATTTCCGGGCAGCGGTAACGAGCGCGAATGCCAGTTTCTCCATAGGAGGATAACGAAGTTCGGCGTTATGACATAATAAATAGGTGATTGTAACATTCCTTCTGACATAATAAATAGGTGATTGTAACATTCCTTCTTTGCGTATCAAGACGGCACTGATTGCTGCATCACTGACTCCGAGGTATAAGAACAGCATTTCCTCGGGATTTGGCTTCTGTAACGTCAGAGGAGACGTGAGAGTTTCCTTAATGCTAGCGAGTGCTTTTTGGCATTCTTCGGTCCATTCAAAGTGTTTTCCTTTCTTGATTGCCTCAAAGAATGGTTTACACCGATCTGCTGACTTGGATATGAATCGATTAAGCGCGACAAGTCGGCCAGTGAGGGCTTGAACGCCCTTGATCGAGGTAGGGGGAGTTAAGTCTTGAATTGCTTTGATCTTGGCCAGATTGGCTTCAATTCCCCGTTGACTGACCATGTAACCGAGGAACTTTTTGGACTCGACTCCAAAGGTGCATTTCTTGGGATTTAAGATGATGGAGTATGACCGAAGAATGTTGAACATTTCTTGAAGATGTGTAACGTGGTTGGAGGCGTTCACCGACTTAATGAGCATATCGTCCACGTAGACTTCCATGGTATGACCGATTAATTTGGCGAACATCTTGTTAAAAAGACATTGATAAGTGGCCCCGACGTTTTTTAATCCGAAAGGCATCATAGTATAGCAATACAGACCTCGAGCAGAGTAGAACGAGGTGTGCTCTGAGTCCTCAGGATCCATGGGAATTTGATTATAACCGGAGTAAGCATCCATAAAACTCATTAATTCATGTTCCGAGGTGGCGTCTACCATGTAATCAATATGAGGAAGCGGATAGCTATCTTTTGGACACGCCTTATTTAAATCTGAGAAATCTATGCACAAACGCCACAAACCATTACTCTTCTTTACAAGGACAGGATTGGATACCCAAGTCGGGTATTTGGCTTCTTTAATGAACTTGTTGTCCACGAGTTTTCTGACTTCCTCTTCTAAAGCCTTCTGACGATTTGGCCCCAACTTTCAACGTTTCTGGACAACTGTTTAACTGTTCGGTCGAGATTTAGCTTGTGGCTAGCAACACCGGGGTCAATTCCCTTCATATCCTCGTGTTTCCAGGCGAAGACATCAAAATTATTCTTGAGAAATGACACGAGTTCAGATCAAAGGGGTTCTTGAAGATGGCTCCCAATGCTCAATGACTTTTGACATGTCGGTTCATCAATATGGATCAAATCCACTTCTTCTCTGGGTTCGACTCGATCATTTTAACTTTTCTCTTTGAATTGAGTTCTTGGGTCCAATTCATCGTCTTCTTGACTTGGTTCTTTCCCAGGTCTTCTACCTCGGTCCTCGGTTAAAGGATCCGACGTGAAGAGAACATCAGGATCAGGACTTGGATCCTCGGAAATGGTGTTGTCCGAGGTGATCAATGGGCGGGGAATTCTCTCGTCGACCGAATTGACGGAATGGACTCCGGTGGATGGTATAAAGGTGATGAGTTCTCGAGCTTCTCTTTGGTCTCCATAATGTGTTCCTTCTCCGCAGGTAGTCGGAAATTTAAGTGCGTAATGAAAAATGGAAACAGCAGCTCGGAGGTTGTATAAGGCAGTCCTCCCAATGATGGCGTTATATTCATTATTGATGTCGAGAACTTTAAAGGTTTCCATGACAAGTTTTGTGACATGTTCAGCTGTACCAAACCTGACAGGTAGACTAATCTCGCCAATAGGTCGTGAAATGCTCCCGTTAAACCCTTGTATTTAGTCGTTGCAAGTGTTGGTGTTATATACTTAAGCTTTGCTTTAGTGGATATTACACTTGTTATTCCTTGATGAATGAGAATTATGTTTGGTTAAATAAGTTCCACGTTCTGTTGTTTTGCATGTAGATAAGCGGGTCATCATCGGGCGTACCGAAGATCACTATATCAGTTACTTGCGAAACAAGAATTGTTGGTTCACAACCTAGATGGAATTGAACAACCCATCGGAACGGTTGTAGTGTCAACCGTACGGTTTGTCTTGACCGATTAGTTGCACTAGTACATTTATGTATCGAACAGGATCCCAGAGAGGGATGTTCGTTTTATACTGATCGTCATAAACGAACTAGTCCTCAGTTAATTATTGCGTGCTCTTAACCCGTAAGATATTAAATAG